ATCAATTTCAGAACATTTTCACCACCCCAGAAAGAAACCCTGCCCCTCTGAACTGTCACCTCTTCCATGTTCCCCGTCTCCCCTCTCCCTGGGCCCTAGCAACCACAAATCTGTTTTCTGTCTCTATGGATTTGCCTGTTCTGGACATTTCATGTAAACGGATCATACGCTATGTGGCCTTCTGTATCTGGCTTCTTTCACTGAGCATAATGTTCTCAGGGCTCATTCAGGTTACAGCGCGTGTCAGCACTTCATGCCTTTCTATAGCTGAGCAATATTCCGTCGTATAACTTCGTATAATGTATGCTATACGAAGTTATTACGCGTGGCCCCACTTAAAATGTACGATTCATTGGTTATTAGTACATTCACACAATGTTTAGTTGTGCAACCATCACCACAATCAATTTCAGAACATTTTCACCACCCCAGAAAGAAACCCTGCCCCTCTGAACTGTCACCTCTTCCATGTTCCCCGTCTCCCCTCTCCCTGGGCCCTAGCAACCACAAATCTGTTTTCTGTCTCTACGGATTTGCCTGTTCTGGACATTTCATGTAAACGGATCATACGCTATGTGGCCTTCTGTATCTGGCTTCTTTCACTGAGCATAATGTTCTCAGGGCTCATTCAGGTTACAGCGCGTGTCAGCACTTCATTCCTTTCTATAGCTGAGCAATATTCCGCTGTGTAGATGGACTGCGTTTTGTTGGTGCGCTCATCCATTGATGGGCATTTGGGTTATTTGCATCTTCAGGCTGTTACCAATAATGCTGCTGTGAACATTCGTGTATAGTTTTTGTGTAGATGTGTGTTTTGCATCGGGTGTACATCTGGAGGTGGAATTGCCAAGTCCTAGATCATTCTACGTTTAACGTTTTGAAGAAATGCCAAACTCTTCTAAAGTGACTGCCCTGTCTTACATTCCCGCCAGCAGTGTGCAAGAGTTCTGGTTTTGCCACATTCCTCGCCAACACTTGTCAATGTCCCTCTTTTAGCTTCCAGCCGTCTTCATGGGTGTGAAGTGGTATCTCATTGTGGTCTTGATTTGCATTTCTGTGATGGCAAATTTCAGGCTAAGTTGTGTGCCCTTCTCTGAATCAACGGGACCCTTAGGCTTCAGGAGGTCAGAGTCACAGTCCTGGAACTAGGGTGGGGTTGAGGGTGGGCAGTGAAAGCCACTGGAGGAGGAGAAACTTCCAAAGGAAGTTCAAGGCATTGTTGGCAGCAAGAAGACTACGGATTCTGTGTAGTGAGCAATACGTGTTTTCGCTGCAGATCCTCCTTGATTTATTCCTGCTGCTGTGACCAACTTGCCCCCAATTGTGCAGAACTTTTTGGGTTTCAGCACTGAAATCCCACATCCCAGGGATCCTTTGTTCCTGGGCAAAACAGGACAACTGGTCACGCCATTGGTGTTGGATTTAACCCTAATCCTAACTTCTCCCCACTGCCTTTAACTAGCCCGTCTCTCCTGTTCCTGGGACCTGAGGGTCACTGGTAGGAATCCCCAACACAAATCCCCACCAGCCTCTGCCCTGCATAGCCTAACCCCAACCCCAGACAGACCAGCTGTATCCACCCTTGAGGGTAGCAGAGATGGGGGGAGAAAATTAGGGGAGAGTGAGAGGTTACAGTCATGTTCTTAAAAATCTTTTCATAGACACTGATTTTTATTATTTCTGACATTTTCCTTAATTGCCTAGCATTGCTTTGATAAAGAGAAAAGTGGCATAAAACTTTCTTTTATATACACAATTTATACTTGTTGGAGCATAATTTTACCTCATTTACAAAATTCTCTCCTGCATTCTGTGGGAGGCAGTCTTTTTTTTTTTTTTCTTTCTTTCTCTTTTGCTAGTTTAATAGGTAAAATCACCTCTAGCTGTTGGACTGCTTTGCTTCGGAGTATCTCCCTCTCGAAACCTTGCATTAAAATTATGTGTCCCCTCGCCACTTCCTCTTCCCCACCCCACTGTCGTGTACCCTGTCTCTAGAGATCACCCCCTCCTCGGGATGATCCCCCATTTCTTCTGTGCTAATATTCTTTGCCTCAGCATCTTTGGGAGTTTTGGAGCTCTCCTGTTTGCACAAACTTTTATGCAACTGGCTTCTTCACCCTTGATCAGGTTGCGATCTTTTTCTGCATTTATATTTTTCTTTGTCGGTGTCTATGGAGAGTGCTTTGTCAGGTTCTGGATCTTTCCATCATACTCCCTTCTTGCTTCCCAACACTCGAGGGGTAAATGGGTCTGGGGTAAATGACCAGCATTAGAGGATATATTTTCCCCTGTGTCCCAGATAGCAGCTACCTCTAGTTTCTATATTTGCTTATTTATCCCTTTCTCATTGGTGACTCATTCTNGGTTGCGATCTTTTTCTGCATTTATATTTTTCTTTGTCGGTGTCTATGGAGAGTGCTTTGTCAGGTTCTGGATCTTTCCATCATACTCCCTTCTTGCTTCCCAACACTCGAGGGGTAAATGGGTCTGGGGTAAATGACCAGCATTAGAGGATATATTTTCCCCTGTGTCCCAGATAGCAGCTACCTCTAGTTTCTATATTTGCTTATTTATCCCTTTCTCATTGGTGACTCATTCTACTGGGAAGAACCTTTGGATGAGAGTTTCCCTGCCCCCATCCCTGCCACCAGGCCAGTTTGTTTTCTGGCTATTATTGTCACATGATAAGCACGGGGTTTTTTACATTTCTTTCTCTCCTTTCCTCCTCAACCCCCAATTTTCCAGCCCAGTTCTCTGCATGCACTGTGAACTTGGAACGGTTTTGGAAAGTTTTCAGAGATTTGGCCTGACGCTTGCAGGTTCATGAGCCTTTTGTCTCTCCTAATAAGCTCTGGGTTTATCACTAGTTACATGCTTATCATGGGGTGTGTGCCCCACTTTATTTATTTCCTGTCCTCTTAGCAGACATTTGGGTGGATCCCAACTGTTTTTACAATGACTAAAAATCAAAAGGCAGCTGCAGTTAACAAAGTACTTTGTATCTTTGAATAGCTAGTTAGGATGATGTTGAATGTTCCTACCACGAAGGGACAAATGTCTGAGGTGATGGATACACTAGACACCCAGATATGATCATTGCACACAGTGTGAATGTACCCAAATATCATATCATACTCCACAAATATATGCAATCATCATGGGCCAATTAAGAAAAATAAATTTAAAACAGAAAGAAAGAGA